CTCGAAGCCCGCATCCCGACCCGCACTTGGCCCGGGACCCCGACCCCGACCCGGCCCGGCCCGGCCCCCGTCCTCGTACCCCGGGCCGATGGACTACTCCTACCTCAATTCGTACGACTCGTGCGTGGCGGCCATGGAGGCGTCCGCCTACGGCGACTTCGGCGCCTGCAGCCAGCCCGGCGGCTTCCAGTACAGCCCGCTCCGGCCCGCCTTCCCCGCGGCCGGGCCGCCCTGCCCCGCGCTCGGCTCCTCTAACTGCGCGCTTGGCGCTCTCCGCGACCACCAGCCCGCGCCCTACTCGGCAGGTGAGCCCAGCCCCTGCCCAGTCCTCGCTCCAAATCCTGCGGAACCCCCAGCCCCTTCCCTACTCCGCAAATGATTGAGACAGTCCCCCACAACCGCCACCATCCCCGCCACAACCCCTGCGCTGGCCAGACCCTCCAGTGCCCCCTGGACGCCCAGCCCCTCTGTAAGACGGGGATGCCCTGGGCGGAGGGAGCCTCCCCCCTCACCCTTCCCAGCTGCCACATCCCTGTCCCACACTCTTAGGGTCAAGGAAACAGCCCGTCCAGCCCCAGGCTCCTCACCAGGCCCTCCCCTCCCCACCTGCGAAGACTGACACCAAACCTCTGAATCCCCTGTATCCTTGGAAGATGCTCCCGGCTCGGTTTAACCAGACCCTCGTCTTTATCATCACCACCCCACTTCATGCCCAAACCCCCAGCAAGGACCCTTCCAGCGACTGAGCTGCCCAGATGAAAACCTTCCTAGTGCCCCAGAACCACCAGGCCCTTCCTGCCTGGTTTTGGACCCATCCCGCCTGTACCCAAACCCTCTTCCACCACTGAAACCCACTCCATGGCCCGAAGAAAAGGGTGCCCAGGTCATTAAGCCACTTTCACTTCCCTGTTCCTCCTGGGGCTCTCCCAGCTACAGTCCTGCAGAACCCAAAAGCTGCCCCTACAACCCCCAGACCTCTTGATCCATCCAAGTCCCCATCTGAACCCTCAGCCTCAAGGAGCCTCTCAGCCATCCCTGTCCCTCCCATTACAGTCCAGGCCGCCCCACCCAACCTCCTTATCTCCTTCCTTCCTGGGAAGACCACCACCGGGACCCAAGTAGAAGACTGGGGTCAGGGGGTCGGTGTGGGGAGAGATGGTGAGACAGGGACCTGGATTTGGAGAAATGAGATCCAGAGAGATGGAGCCAGAAACTGGAACAGGGATGGGGAGATTGGATGCTCTGGGCCTGATGCAGATGGGGACTGGGAAATGGGGAGTTCTGAGCTGGGGGAGATAGGGACAGGTGCAGAGAGATGTGAGCTGAGATGGGGAGATTGGGGACCTGGGAGAAATGGGGACCCAGGGTTGGGGAGATGGAGATAGGAACCGATGGTGGAGACAGGAAGTATGGGAGATGGGATGGAGGAAGATGGAAACTGATGAGAAAGGCAGGGGTAGGCTGGGGTGTTAGAGACAGGGATTAGGGGAGAGAGAACTCGGTGATAGCACAAAGAGGAAGGATATTGGGGACCCCTGGAAATATGGAGACCTGAGTGCAGTTTGGAGAGAGGGATGGGGAGACAGCATCAGAACTGTCTGGGGCGGTGGGGACTGGGACGGGGCAGATGGGAGGCAGGGGTGGGAAGAGAGTGAAGGGGAAGGGTGGGACCAGCTTTGGGGGAGTTGGGACACAGAAAGGGGTGCTTGGGAGGAAGCAGAAGGGCAAAGAGAAGATGGAGGAACCTGGGTGGGGAGAAACAAGGACACTTCCCGAAGGGCACCAAGAGAGTGGCCCAAAGGGGGAAGTTAGAGAGAGATTCGGCGGGAGATGAGGGAGAGAAGGGACACCCGGCAGGGAGTGGGGTGTGGGATGGGGCAGGGACCGCGGCCGGGGGAGGAGGGAGAGGCGGTGGAGAGGGCAGATCCCGCCCCACGGAGAGCCCGCGGCCGGACTGAGAGGTGACCCGAGCAGGGGAGTCTCAGCCGCCCCGCCGAGGTCCAGGACTGGTTCCCGGGAGATTCTCGAGGCTCTTGAGACCGGATGGCAAGCCAAGGCCAGGGCGGCCAGACAGGCCCCGACGCCAAGCCGGCAGCCCGGCCGAGGGAGGGACGCGCTGACGGGAGGGCCGGCGGGAGGTGGAGGGACCCGGAGAAGGCCGACCAGCGGTCGGCGGCCTTGACGGGAGGGTCAGGTTCTGGTCCCTCGCTGCTGTTTTTGGGGCTCAGGGCGCCGTGTCCGCCTTCACCCCTGCGGGCTCCAGAGAGCGATAGAGAAGACGCTCCATCCGCGGCCGAGGCCGAGGCCCAGAGGCAGGCCAGGGGCGGG